GTGGGTGTGTTTGTGGGTCTCAAGTGCAGCAGGGACATACTTGGCAAGCCCTCTCAGAAATCCTGGCTTACGGCAGGACTTGCCAGAGTCTGGCTCGTAACTTCTGCCATTCCCCCTTTACGCATTGTTAATTTTTTATGGGCCAAACGAAAATTTTCACTCAAGATTTATGTGGCGGCCGACAGAGTGCTCGAGTGCAGCACCCAAAAAAAAAAACCCAAGCATTTCGACCAGGAAAATGTAACTGCAAGCCTACCAGAGGTAATGCAGATTAGAAGCTTAAAAAGTTTAAGGAAATCCATTAACATAAGGACTTTAAAGTGCTCTTTGAGTCTGAATTTGATTTAATTTAATTTTTTTAATTACTAGCCTGCCAAATATTTGCAATTACTAAATCATGTTGTGTCCTTCACTCCTTGGCACTGCTTCAGAAATGTAATATTTTGTATTTTTCGAAATTTTTGGCCGCGTTGTTTGCCTGCCTTTGGTGTCGCCGCACTCACCGCAAGTGCTACATTTTAAAATAAGGAAAACTGTAGCTGCCAGGAAACCAATTCAATTAATGCTAAAAATATCAAAAAAAGAAGGGAACAAAATATGTGATATGGTAAGGCTTGGATTTCCTTTTTCCCCCTTCCGGTGTATGTGCTTGGGCGATATCGATTAGCCGACCCGTTGACCACAAAAGTTTGTTTACACCACCGCCCCGGGGACCAAGTTAGCTGCACTATTTATGTGCGCCATCGCATCGGATAGCATTTCAGCTAGTTAGCACTTTCTAATGCATTTCTGACCCAAATACCCGCACAGTTTTTGGCTCGCTCGGGGATGCTGACTGCCAGAAATGTTGACGCAAAAATCTGCATATACCAAAGAATATTGAATTAAATTCAAGTCCTGGGAAAGTACTGTATCTCATCATCACCCCGTGGTGCTGGCAATCAATTCCTGTTTAAGGTTTCAGCCGTAATCCATAAAACGCATTGCTCGAAGGACGCTCGCTAAATATTAGACCGCTCAGGGTTTACGCTCTGGAAAATTGAATTTTCCAGAACTGGGCTGAAGATGATGATGAATGGCCCGGGGGCGGTAAATTTATCCGGTAGTAAGTTACCCGTGCATTCTGTCGGACCTTTTCAATTAGTAATTTTAATTATCTTGGCCCGGGGGCCGGACTGGGAATAAACTGATGCGAAATGCACAAAATTTCGGCACTCGTCGGTGTTGGCTGGCTTTTGTTCGATTGTTTGTTTGCGGAAATGGAGCGCTGCATTTTGGCCAAGTTCTATTTGGGCCACACAAACATCAGCCGGCAAACAAACAAATTGGTTTATATCCTTTCGCTGGCTGCGGGAGTCATTTGTAATAGATAGCGTATATCAAAATTGAATTTCGTTTGCAAGTCGCTGATTAGCATTCGATTTGCATATTAGCCATATGTACATATATAAAACATATATGCCGGAATATCGGTTACAGTATTTTGTTTGGACAAGGTGCCAGCCATTAAGCCAAGCCTGAAACTCTGCATTTAATTTGTTAAATAAAATAAAAGTGTGTCTATTAAAAGCAAATAAACTAGTCAAATCCGAACCAATATATTTGCCAATATTTACTAATGGTTATCTGTGAGTTAGAGCACTCAAATGCAAATATAAAATGTAAATAAATGCAATTTTAAAAAGTTGGAAAAATGAATTGCGTTTATTTTTATTGGGAGAGCTCTAAAAACATTTGAGGTTTGGAAATTAATTGTAAATAAATTAATATGAACCCTTACTATACGTTAAGTAATTTTATAAACTTTTAGATATGTCTTGGTTTATTTTAAGAAGAACAAGGAAACTAACTTGGGCATTTGGCAATTGAATTAAAGAAAGGAATCAAAAATTCATAGTAATTGATTGTAGGCCTTTAATTTCTAATTTTTTTAATCACTTTTTATCGATATTTTTATATGACATTTTTTTCACATATCAAAATTTTAATTACTCAAAACTCAGCCAAAAATTATTTAATTTCAATTCGGAAAACTGTTCTGTGTTAGTTTTTATAGCGCTAATAAATATGCATACCAAGTTTTACAATTTTAAGAAATTGATTTTTTGACAAATTTTGACCATTTCAAACCTTTAAAAAAATTAACAAAAAAATGGCAAAAATTTTGTAATTTTTTTTTTCTGCCTGAGATGTCTAGATCGATTCAACTTTTAATTCTGATCAAGAATATATATGATTTATAGGGTCGGAAATGACTCCTTTACATAGTTTTAAGTAAATTAGAATACCTTTGCTAGGGTATAAAAATAATTTGGAAATTGAAGATAGCCTAGTCGTATTAAATTAATTTATCATTGTTATTAAAGATAATGCATTAAGATACTTGCAATATAATATACCCCATATGTAACCTACCAAAATATGTGAGTTTCCCCTCAAAATCAATCCCATCGATTGCTCATTTTGGCCCATAATGCCAATGAGGTTCTCGTCAAACGTACTCGATTCTGGATCGCCTTTGTTTGTTCACATCGATGGCATATATTTGCACAAGCTCGAACCCCGACAAATCCATTTCGATTTCGGGCCATTAGTGTCGCCGTTTAAAAGCGGCAGAAAAAAGTTTTTTGTTTTCACGCTTCGTCATTAAAAGAAAACATTTGGGGCCAAAAAGGAACAAAGTAAAAGCCGCGCCAAAGTTTTGCAGTTTTGTCTGCAGTGCCCCCATTGGCCTCCCGGTAGTCAAGTCTATTCCCTTTGTTCCATTTTTATTTCTGCCATTTTTCAACTTTTTGATGCTTTTTCCTTTTTTTATTTTTTTTTTGCCTGCTGCCACTGTTTGTTTGTGTTCGGCGGCGAAAAATTAAAGGAAAATACCAGTGGTAATGAAATAGAAATAAGCGAACGTCAATCGCAAAAAAGTGGCCACGTATGTGAAATTCTGTGACAAAGTTTGCACATGACATTGTGGCCGGGTAAAAATATTCTTGATCAAGAGAGGAGGACAAAGTTTTTAACTGCTCGACAATTAGTCAGAAAAGTATTCCGAATTCAGGAATATTCTTTTTATTAAATAAAAGGAAGCTTTCAATTTGTTGACGTAAGCCCGGTGACAGTGGCATTACTTATTCTCTCGGATATTTGGCCCAACTTTCTGTCTGCTTTTAAGATTTTAAATCAAATCTCTAATCCGGTACAAACTTCTGACCACATAAGTATGCAGCACTTTCTGACTTTTGCATTTCGGCCCGAAAGCCAGAAGCTGGCGGGAAATTCCCCCTCCTTGCCTGCCACCACGCACTGTTATTTAATTTAATTAAAAATATCTCTTTCTGGCTTCTCGTGTTTGCCAAAAAGTTTGCACCCCGAGCCGAGCAGGACACAGTGGCACACAAAAAAATATGACTAACGATGTGCCCTCGGGACGGACACGCCTCCACTTCTAAGTCCTTGAAGCCAACTAGCAGGGATTTGGGTTCCAGGACGAGACCGAGACTCCGGTGGTGCGGAGAGTGGTTGTATCCACGTGGCGTCACTGGCTTTGTTGCCGGGTCATGTGGGTCAAGTGGTGGGTCAAGTGGGCCGTCAGGAGGAGTGTGGTCCAGGTCCCGTTCCCTGTACCGTTCCCCTGTTGTCCTGGCACGGGTTAAGTGGTTTTTAATGAAAGTTAGCATCCGCTTTAATGCAACTTCCCGGAGAGTTGAGCTGCTCCGGAGACCGGAACTCGAATTATCGAGCACTTTCCCGCAGACGAAATTAAAAGCCATGGCTTAAAGCGGCTCAGCGACAAAATTAAGGGCTCGCCATGGCTTTAAGGTCTCTGCCTCATTAATTGTTTTGGTTTTTGGCTTTGGTTTTGGTTACCAGTTTATTAAATTCGCAGCTTCCCCTTAATTTATGATCAAAGGGAAGGAAGGAAGGCCGCCCCCTCCAGCGTTGCACATTTTAATACAAATATTATTTCTGCTCCTTTGTTTATTCTGTAACCTTCGTTTCGCTTTTTGCTGATTTTTTCCGAGGACTTACTTTTTATAATTTCTTTTTTTGTATGTGCTCTTTTTGTTCTGTGAGCTTTCGCTTTTGGCATTTCGAACTTTTTTTGCGGCACTTTTTCAGTTGATTTCCTGACCCTGTGCTTCCTGATCGGAATACTGTATTTCCGGTATGTCCATTACGAATTTTAAATGCAATACTGGCTCCTTTGTTGCGGCTCTGTGCCGGTTTTACCTTTATTTATTTGCGGCAGCTGGGGGCAAAGAATTTGCAACCTGGAAGTTTCTCACAAAGAGGGTTCAATATTGACAACCATTGTTGCTTAAGATGAGTTAATACTTGATGTATTTGAGGAAAAATAATCAATTGGAATTGAAACTTTCAAGCAAAATATATTAAAGTAAAGTAAAGTAAAGACAAAAGAAATATATAAAGTTGAGCTAATTAAAAACAAATGATACTTCATAAAATGATTTCCTTGTTGAACTTTCACATCTCTTGCCCTGCCTGCCCTGCCTTTGAATTAATACCTTTGCAGTTGGCATATTTATACCACATTTAATAAACCAACCAGATTCGTATCTGCAACATTTGTCTTCCTCTGCCACCGCTGCGGTCAGAGAGGTTTTCCCAACCAACTGGGATTTTCCCTACACACCTACCTTTTTCCCAGCTGAATTCCCCACAGATTTCGGGGACTGTTTAGCATGCTTGTCGCCTAGGCTCAACGCTCAGTGATTTTAATTAACATTTCTGATTTTGCGGCTCACCAAAGGCTCCCTTCCCGAATTCTGTGTACCTTTATTAGAACACCTGTGAGTCCCATGTGAATTTCTGGGCCTCAACTTTGTCTGGCAAACTAATTGAATTGCCTCTAGCTTAATTAAGTACGGAGATAACTGTGCTGTGATTAAGATATTGTCAACATTTAATGCGTTTCATTTGACTTGATTAATGCATTTTAATCATCATAAGTAAATAACTGAATGTATATCTTGCCATTTCAGACAGAAGACCGATTGCAATTTGCCGAGTTGAAAGTTCAATAAACCCACATACAGAAAAGAGGGTAAGTTTTGGTTCGAGTTGTTTTGATAGATTCCGTAGACTGGCATCAATAAGGGGTCAATAATTCCCCTTTCATAATTTTTGTGGGAACCCCATTGCAACTGTGTTTCATTTAGTATAAATGCTGCCAATATATTGACCCACAAGGCTTCTGGCAAGGAAATCGAAAGAGAGAGAAGCTGGCTTAACAATAAGGCAGACCCATTCGATGTGTGGGGAAAACGGAGGAAATGCGAACTGAAATCCAATATCACAACGCAAAATGACTGCAAGCTAAAACTACATACGACTGCCAATGTATATCCTTGCGTCCTTGAATGAGTGGGTGGTGGCTCTGGGTGGGTGTGTTCGACATCCTTAATCAAACAGAGCAGAAATCAAATTATGAGCACACACATAAAAACTAAGCAACAAAATATGAGAGAGAAATAGTGGAATGTTCTTTGAATGATAATAGAGTATCACAGAGTATGCATATAAATTTCGGTTTTTAATTATCAACATTTCTGCAATATTATGAACAAATTCCTGCATAAAATTCACTTTTGCTTAACTAATGTAAAATGTACCTTGAAAAGTACTATAAACAAAGACCAAACAACTTCGGATATACCCCTCAAGTTAGGTATTTAGGTTATTTACCACTGGCCTGGCACACTGCCTAACTGATGGAGTTGATAATGTTAAAGGGAGCCAAGATAAGATTCGCTTGGGAAATGACTTAAAATGAATGGCAAAGGCGGCGTAGACGGCAAAGACGTTGAAGGAGAACCCAGCGGAAGGAGGAGCATAAATTATGAAAAGAAATTTCCATGCATGTGCATAAGGAAGCGACTTACGTATCCTTCCTACGAACTGCTATCAGCTCTTCGTCGTCGTCTCTCGTAATTAATTTGATTTCATTCATTCCAGCAGGGGGCCAGGGAAATGCGAAAAGGGCCGAAAAACAGGACGAGTTAAATTAATTGAAAGGCAGCTCTCGAGAAAAGCGAAAGACGGCGAATTACGCGAGTGTTGCACATTCATAATTTCTGTTTCTTTCAGTTTTCCTTAAAGGGGTGGTTGGGCTAGTCCCTGCTTAACTGAGACAAAAGCTCCTTGCCAGCACTCCAATGTCCTGTCATTTTCCGGGCGTGTCGACATTGGTAATAAAGCGCTCACTTGCATTTGTCCAGGATGCCGAGTGCTTGGCTATGTAAGGTTGTGTGCCAGTGCTGACAATTTATCGCCTTTTCCGGCTAAAAATGTTTCAATTTTCCCCAAGTGGAGAATTTTCCTGGAAAAACACAATCAACTGTCTTCTGGAAATCTGTATTTTTTCTATGTCTTAAGAAATCTTTTGGTTCTAGGACTTCCATAGATTTGATTATTTTAAGAATTTATTCTGGTGATACCACTTTTTCAGTTTACTTTTACAACGAATTAAACAGCTAATACAAACATTGTATATGTATATACATTTTAAAGATAAAGCTGTTTACTTTAATTTTTCGTCATATTTTGAAAGGATGTGGACATCACTGTCGCATATCCTTGCGAGAGTGCCATCTGTAGCCGTGTGTGTATGCACGAATGAGGTTAAGAGCTTAATGAGTGCTGACAAGGCAACCTGTAGTTGACATATGACATTTTTATGTGCCTGGAAGCCTTCGCAACAAGGGTTTCCTATTAATACGCATCCTTCTAGGAGCAAACTCTCCTTCGTCTTCTCCCATACCATAGCCCCCCAAGAGCAGAGTTGCCCCAAGGTAAATGCTAAGGTTTCAACTTAATTAGTGCCGAGAGTTAGCCTCGTTTTTATGATAGTTAACCAAGTGTGTTTTGTGTGTTTGTGCGAGAAAATGCGTAGAAAATGTGGCACAATTTTTGGTCATTTAACTTGGTATTTTGGGTCTCCTTCGGCATGCTTAAGAGACAATAAAATGGGTCCAGTTATTTAAGCGGAGGAATGCCAGAAAAGTGTGCTATTAAAGGCAGAGTGACTTAATAAATTGATTGATTTTAAGTTGGTTTTCACTGTTATTTGTACACATTACTTCCTAGTAAATAATTTAACGCTTTATTTAAACACAATACCACGCCCTCGTTTGACAATTAGTCCGAACAAGTCAACAAGTTATGCAGCTTTTGCCTGGCCAAACAATGTGTAAACACACTTGCCACATTTTCCCCATCCCGCTACTATATAACTCTCCCCTATATGTGTATATATATGTATATATATATTCCTGTACTTCCCCGGATCTAGGGCCACCACATTGAGTGACCACTGGACCATTTTGTAGTCGTCCACATTTGTTTGGCATTGTCAGGCACTCGTCGTGGCCATTGTTTATCCGACTGCCGTTGCCGGCTGTGATGGCATTAATTGTAACGTTTTCAGTTGTCGGCTTGTTTGTCAGTCAGTTAACGCCCCGTTGACTGCAAGTTTTAGTTTACCATTATCCATCCATCCATCCAGCTAGCGAAGCCAGCAGACTTTCCACTTTCGGTGGGGAATCGGATCTGGTTGGCATATATCAGTTTCCTTAGCGCGCTCTTGATTTATTAGCCCCGACTTGGCAGCGCCCTCAGGCCGCATTAGTTTTAACGACGGCGGGGGCACCCTGTGCCAACTTAGACAGTTTTAATTAAATTGTTATTAATTATTCATAATGCAGCGAGAGGGAGGGAAAGGGTGCTTCATGTACTACCAAAAATGTATAGCTAAAAGTGTGTTGCATATTTTAGTAATGAGCCAGGCTTGCAGAAGTAGGGAGATGAATAAATGTTGAGCCAAGTTGAAGGTTTCAAGATTGAAAATAGAACTTATTGGGAAATGTACCTAAGCTCAGTAAGCACTAGAGCCGGCTTACATCACTCTCTATTCTAGGAAAACCCCCATGAGTTGTCTATTTTCTTGCAGCTCGGCATAAATTAACTTTTTCCATTTGCAGTGGCCGTTAATTGAGTGCCAAATGTTCGGGCTCAAAAGTCAATTACACGCACTGCACATGCACATGCACCGCCACCGCACTTGAGCAAATCATTTGACAGACAACCAACGGCAGCTGCAAAAAGTGAATAAAGTACAACAAGTTCAGCACACGCAACATCAACAAGTTCATTAAAAAAGTTAGCACAAAGCAGCAACGGCGACTGGCAAAAAGCGAAAGCCATTGAGACTGAAAGCTGGAAACAGAAGCGAAAACCCAAGCGAACGGAACCCCACAAATGTAACGCTTCACTAGAACTTGGCAAAATTGTACATATACTTACTTGCCTTCTTTTTTTATTTTTCCTGCCCCTGACTCTATATACATATATATACTTTGTTATCTGCCAGTCCCTGAACATTCGCACACCTTCAAAGGAGCACAGGGCAGGGCAGAGCGGAAGTGATGCGGCTCATTTGTGTGCGACCACAAAATGGCGGAGCAGAAGCGGAAACGAGGGGAATAAGTGCAGTGATTAACAGGAAGGCAGCTGGCAACTGCTTGTTATTAGCAGCAGCAAGCGCAACAAGGGTTTTGAGTTGCCTCCAAATGAGAGCTTATGATTACTTGGGATTTTTTTGCTCACTCCTGGAGGTCACAGAGTCATTAAAAAGCGTGCTTAAGATTGCTTTTGGGAAAGCAACTCTGAAACATCAATTTTACTAAGTAGCTTAAAGGAAATAATATACGCTATACTAAACTAAATTTAATGAGTAACAAGAAAGTAAAGAATAATTAAAGGGAAACTAAAACTAGTATTCATGTTTAGCCAATTGTGGTAGCTCTGTCATAGCCCTCTTTAAAGAGAATATCAGTATACCACGTTGTAACCCCAATTGAAACCAGCTCAAAGGGTGTTAGCTGAAACCGGAAGTGACTTTGCAATTGAATTGTGCAAAATACCAATGCTCGGATGCAAAAGTAACCTGCTCAAAACACTTCCCCGATGCACATTTTGTTGCACCTTAATGGGCGTCAGCCAAGTGTGTCGATGTCCGAGGAAAAAGGGAAATGCCAAGGCACTGGGGGAAAGGGAAAGTAAATGGGAATCCGTGAAAAGTTCAAACCGACGTTTGCTCTTTGTTATGCACATGCATTGTTAAAAAGGAAGGGAACCTCCCGGCGAATGGCGACCATCAGCTCGCCCCTTTTGTTTGCCGGAAGTTTGTGGTGGGAAATTTCATTTATGCTGACACTTGACTTGACTTGCCCCCTGCCAGCGTGTCTGCCCAACTGTCCTTCTGCCACTGGAGGTCCTTTGCTTTTTTATTTGGGGGCCGGGCTTAATTTGCTGCAAATAAATAATGGAAACAGACGTTGAGCTGGCCAGTTCGATTTGGCCGTGGCGCCCAGTGAAGTTTATATTGTGCACTTTTCCCATTTCCTTCTCGGGGCAAACGAGTTACACTGGGAGAAAAAAGTGTTGCCTCTTCAATTTTTCCTCTTTCCTCTTAATTTATTTACCAAGTTTTCTCATTTTTATAATAAAATGGTAACCTTGTTAGTTGTTTTCAATTTGGTTTTTAGACCTTTCTCCAAGATTTTTCCTTAGTGCTTGCACGTTACAGCGGAAACGTGTTGACGGAGCCACAATCGGATGTCCAAGTCGCAGTTGTCGAGAAGGAAAAAGGAAAACCGGAGAACGGAGAGCGGAGAGCGGGGATCCAAGCAGATAGCGCTTTTCCTCTTGGCCCACTTTTCTCCCTCCCGCTCTGTGTGACACTGAATGTGCTTGCTCTTTACTGTTCGGTGTGACAATTTAATTGTTTTGTAATTGCTGAGACTTTGCAGTGAGTCCTGATTTATGGGGAAATTGATTGGGTGCTTTTGTGGCCTAGGGCGCCAAGTGCCCATGCCCATGCCCACGCCCGCACCTGCATTTGATTGACAGCCAAGTTAGTGACCTAAAAACGAGGCTCATAAAAGTTGCAACGCATGTTGCAAAATTCATCCGGAATTCGCAATCGAGTGCACACCCAGCAGCAGCCAGTGGCAGATTTAATTTGCAATGGCCAAATATTTACATTCCTGCAATTGTGTGTTGTTAATCGGTCGGCGGGTTAAATAAGTCATGAGTAAGTATTTGTGACATCTAATCGAACATGCGCTGATACTTGGATTTATATCGAATAAGTTTTGCTTGGCCATAAATCTCAATCGAAATGTGGGTTAATGTGTGCCACAGAGTGTTGGGCTTTTCGCCCCTCTTGCTCCTGGCCATAAATCTCGTCGAGGACGTGTGGGGAATGCAAGTGCAACATTTGTCTAGCCAACTTTTGGGGGTGCCACTCGTGAGCCTGCAGCAGGTTGGCCAAATTGGCTGGTTTATAGCCAAGGTTGTTCACATTTATGTAAAATTCGAAGTTGTTAAAATACTTAAAAATATTGTTGCCTGTTTTTGTAACTGTATACAAAAGTTATATGGTTGTGAATAAATAATTAGTGATGTATTGCGAGGTCTGGTCATATAACATATAACGAAGGTGTACAAAATATTTTACCCCTCTTCAAAAGCAATCTTAATTCATTTCCTAATTTTTCAAGACTTAATTTAGTTCATGCTACTAGTTTCTAGTTACCAACACTGACCTGCTAAACACGGGCAGCGGTGGTAAAGTTTTGTAAAGGATTGCAGTGCGTGTAATTGGCTGGCAGGGAGTGAGCCTGAAGTCAACTTCATTGGCAGGACTCGCACAAAAAGTTTCCTGCCGTTAGTTGCCTCCAATGAAGTTAGCAAAACTGATTAACTCCCGGCAGCTTGGCTTGATCCTGCCCCCTCCTTGAGCTCCTCCTAGGATTCAGGCTGGATCCACAATCCAGGCTAACTAATTGCATTTCCCAGCAGCTCTGCTGCAGCATGCAATAAAAATTATGCAACGCCTTCTTCCGTCCTGCCGCCCTTTCCTACCATTTGCTTTTGCTTCAGGATGTTTTGTGTAGCGGCGGCATTTATTTTTGATGTCTAACATAATTTTAATGGAATGCTGCTGCTGCATTTGCGAGTTGCATTAAAGCCCAATTGCATTTTGTCCGACAGCGTTTTAAACACGCCCCCAAAGCCGACCTTAGTGGTGTCAGCATAAATCTTAACAACCCGCCACGCCCTCACGACCTTCCCTTCGCTGACTCTTAAAATGTTTGCTCGGATATTATTATGGCCACGGGGCTCACTCGCTCGACGCGTCAATGTCGCCATTTGGACTATCCATGTTTTAGTTTTAGTTTTAGTTTTAGTTGTAGTTGTGTTTGGTCTTTAGTTTCAGTGCAGCCATTTATACGGACACGCCTTCGGGCCAACACACAGATATAAAAAGGGGCTAGCCAGTTGGTCGACGGCTAATTCTGCCATTGGCCATGATAAATGGCGAGATTTTTATGCACATGTCGGGAATGGTGGATTGTCTAAAAAATAAAAGCCATACAAATAAAACAGAAGTATTTTAGATATATTTGTTTGTCTCTCATATATTATTTTATCTATGATTAATTTGAAGCAATTATTTATGTTATAGAGTTCCGTGTTAAATTATTTAATACTCTTTTTTGATTCGAAATATTTGTACATATTTATGCTTTCTGTGAAAATATTATTAATTTTCTTTCATCAAATGAAATCTCAATATATTTTCCATCAAGCAAATATTTATTTTCAGCTAATAACTTTTTCAATTTTAATATAAAATGCAGTTTGCACAACATTTCCAGAGCCACTAGGCATCGGCAAACAAATTGCAATTGCAGCGAATCTGTGGCTGGAAAATATGTTATATATATTTCGCTTTATACATTTTTGTCGCTGGAAAATATGTTTCTCTTCAGAAAATTTCCCACTCACTCAATGACACTTTGCCGTAGGCACTTTAAGCATATAATGTTGAGCAGGTGAAAAGGTTGACGTTTGCCATTGAAACTGTGGCGTTGTCAAGGTGAAGCCGCTCGCATTGGCCTTAATTTGAGTACATATATATTATACGTATAATGCCAAGATCCTTAAGAGGCTCACTTGGCTTTGGCACATGTTAATGCTTTGCTGGTAGAGCTCTCTGGCTAATTAGAATTAATTCAAGACTCGGAGAAAAAAGTTTATTAATAAGGACTTTATTTTTCTTTGCAGGTCAGCGTAACTATAGCAAAGGTAAGTAGTTGAGAAATATTAATAAAATAAAACAAATAACAATTACAATAATTCGATTAGGAATAATCAAAGAAACTCTGATTTCTTTAATAAGTATTTTGATTTCAATAAAAAAAATAATTAAACTCAATTAACTTGCTAATTTTATATATTAATTATGGCTTTCTCGTTCTTTTTTACTAGAAAAACAGTTTTCTTTCTAATCACTAAGCTCGAGTTCAATTTGGGACATAATTTACGCATTTTTCAGCTTGATAAGCAAAGCTCTTTTAATTAGTTGCTAAATTGAATTTCTCGGGTGTTCAACCCAAAGACCAATTAGTGTCAATAAGCTGGCAAGATTTTTCGCCCGCCTTGCCTCTGTGCTCCACTTTTGGCGCAATTATTCTTCAATTTATGAAATTGAACACACTTTTTGATGACCCCATAAAATGGAACATAAAATTCCATAAATGCCGGCTGCTCCGCATGAATTTCGTCTTTGGCGGAAAAGTGTGTGCAAATGGAAATATTCCATTTAAGAAAACATATTTCTAAAATCCATTTTCGGGTTTCTCGTTTTTCTGTGTTTTTACTTGATTAATTTTGCGGCCATAAAGAAAAATAATGAAATTTTCTTCTTGTTGGTAGAAATAAAAACAAAACCCAGCAAAAAAGGTAGCCATTCGCGGGGTTCGAGGGAAAAGTAACAAATCAAATTAGGAAAATTTGCATTTAGTGGGCATTGAGTGAATGTGCGGAAAAGTAGGCAGTTGTAGGCAAGGAAAAACTTTTGCTTTTTCCGCACACGAATACATTGGCAGCCAGCTGGAAAAGTCTGATGATGATGATGATGATGATGCTGATGGTTTTTGCTCTTTTGTATTATTTTCTTTTGCCAACTAAATTAAAAACTTTTGTTTCGAAGCATCGGCATTCGATTATAATGAGCTTGTCATGTCGGATAAACTGGAAAATGTATACCTCTAATGTACAAACATATCTCCATATGCCACGAAAATGTGCACTGTGCAACAGTTTTTAATTGCCAAACATTTTCCGTGTTTGTTTCGAGGTTTTCCCCCTTGCGCAATGTTTGATTAATGCGAATGTGCGGAAAACCGAGCAGCAAATAATGAAAAATTACGCCCTGCCATAACCACACACACACATATACTCACTCGGAAAAACTGACTAAACAACAACTAAAAACAAGTTACTCACACACACAGAACAATCACACTCGGCTGCATGCTTCTGGGCGCTGTTAAATATAAAATTCTATGAATTTGTACGTACATCATTTGAAAATCGTAAAACTTGCAAGTGTTTCGGCCCCGTTTATATATACATACATATATGCCGTGTGCCGAGTGAGAGCTGTCATAAACAGGCGGAAAAGCATCCCAGGGAAATGGAAATGGAAAAGGTAAGCTGTCTGCGCCTCTTCACTGCCTGCGAGTCGAGTCCTGTTTTTATTACCTTTTTTTATTCCTGTGTAAAGAGCAAGCGCATCTTTATATAATTATAATGCCCTGGCAAAATGCTGATGATCCTGGCAGTGCCAAACGATGATTACTAAGTTATTTGCCCAAGTTTATGGCCGTGCGAAACGCAAAGGATTTTATATGCTCTCCCCCAAAGCCATGTGCACAAATTAATAATCCTCACTCTGGCAAATTAAATTTAAAATTAAATTGTCTCAACCCAAAGGATACAGCTCAAGTTTGCACAAAAATGAACTCTGGGAGATGTGAGAAATAAATCCATGTTGCAATTTATTTTAACTGAGGAAAATGCACAGGGAAAAATGCAGCTTGAAATTCCGTTTCTCAATTTGTAATTTCTGTAAAGAATTTCTATTTCTTTCTTATTCTTACTGTGCACATGCCAAGAGTATCTTATGCAGAGATGGCATAATCAATACTTGGCTTAAATGGCATTCTGACATGTGAGGACATCGTGCCAGTGGCTAATGAATGCCAGGGACACACTCTTCCTTTCACCTTTCACCCAGCTGTCAGTCACTCTCAACTCGTCTGCCAGTCATGCAAACGTATAAAAACGCTTTTATTGTAATCCGCAATGTTAAAATGCTGCAGTGAATGTTTAGTTAAATGCTATGTAACATAAGGGGAAGGGAAAGTGAGCTTTCCTCTAAAAATACAAACGTTTGTATGGCAATACCTGGCTTTATCGCATGCCACGCAGTTGTTTTGCCAAAAGGTTCTGAGTTTTCGCCTAACAAACTATAAAATTCCGCCCACACATCAGAGGAAAAGAAAAAAGTAGAAAAAAGGTTTAAGGTCTATTGATTATCCATTGATAAATGGTTGACATTTTTTTCCCTGGTGACGCAGTGCGAGTGACTGTGCCACTTCAGGTTAAATAGTTTAAGAATGTCTGCCACATTAAAAAACAATTTCCGCCAAATCACTTTCAGGGAGGATGGCAAAGAGGAAGTCACCGCAGACATGACTTGAGGAGAAATTCCTGTAGGGAAGCATTTTCCGCATAAAAGAAAGTATGACAGTAAAAGTAAGCAACACGCCTTATGTAACAAATCAACTGCCAGAGGGTTTATTTTCCCCGGCTTTTCACCCAAAATGCTTTATGTAAGAAAAAGAGGAGAACATAAAGCTTATTGATTTTGCAGGAGAGAATAAAGTTTTGGGCTGGAAAAGTAGTATTAAGTTCATGTGAAAGTTTGCTAGAGAAATATGATATTTTGTTTGTTCTATTTTTGTGTTTCGAATTCGAACGAAATTCCCCTGGTGTAGGTTATTCAACTGTCTGCTAGGCCCCGTGAAAGGACCCACCCTGCGGCGAGAAAACAGCAGCATAAAAATCTCAAAGAAATATTAATAAAAGATGAGCGACATTAGTGTCTCGGTGTTGTTGCTGTTGCTGCTGCTGCTTCTTTCCTCCCATTACAGTTTTTTAGGATTTCTTGTCAATGTCCAACCCAAAACCGTAAAACGGAGAAGAAAACAACATTTTTACTACTTCCTCTGGTTTCTTTTTTTTTTTTGGCCAGCTTCTCTAACCTCCAGCATTCTGTTGACCTTTTTCGAAGCTGTTTGGCTTTGGATTTAGCCATTGGGTGCTCGCTGCTTTAAAGGGTCGACGAATGCAAAAGAAAATGTCATAAATTTGTAACACTTTTCCGATGGAGGCGAGGGCCCAGACAAGATGTCGGGATGCTGGAGGAAAAAAGGGGTTCTAAAGAGACATCAGACAGACATGAGGATTTGGCTTTGGAGCAGAGTTGGAGTTTCTCTGTTTCGGTATTTAAGAGTATTTTTCTGAAAATTCTACAAGCTAGTAATTCACTTTACATGTGTGTTACATGTTAATGATCTTTAAATTATAAACATTAAGAGTTTAAAACTATTTAAATTATATATTAAATACCTGTTATATGTCACTAATATAGGGTATCATCATTTTAGTCCGAAGCTTCAAATGCAGTGAAGGAGACATTTCCGACCACATAAAACATATATATTCTTGATCAGCATGAAAAGCCGAACCGATTTAGCCATCTCAGGAAGAAAAAAAATTTACATTTTTTTTTTTTTTTTTATAAGATGTCATTGAATTAAAAAAAAAAATTATAAAAATACAATTTTTAAACTTTATATTTAGTATGCAGTTTTGTTAAGTAATAAAAACTAACATAGGAAAGCTTTCCGATTTATACTTAAGTCTTTTTTGGCAAAGCTAATTTTTTATATTCGATTTTCAAAAAAATATTCAAATAAAATTCAAATTCAAAACGAATAGCTTAACCTAATTAATGATCTGATTCCGATACGATACTATAATTCAATTGCAAAATGCAAAGGTAGATAGATTTAGTTCCCTGTGTTGTTTAAGTTAAATTATACTTTTCCTTTTATATTTTTTAAGCTTCTAAAATTCTATAAATTTTCAAAATAATTTTTAAGAAAGTTCGTTTTTTCCTATATCCCCATCCGACTTGGTTTCTTTTTATCCCCTGAAAGGATCACAGCACTGTTGGAGAGCAATGTCCCTGCGAGGGCAAGAAGTTATGCAACAAAATGCGAAACTTGGCCTCCGGCACACAATTTGTCACACATACAGGGGGGGGGGCACATAAATTATATATATACACATACACACACACACAAGTCCGGAGATGACTGGACCTTTTGGTTTTGGTTTCAGCTTCAGTTTCAGTTTCATTTTTGGTTTCAGTTTCGTTGTCGCTCTGGATTCCCACTTCTTGTGACGCTTTTTTGTCCCAGTTTCCTTCCCTTTGCATGGAGCATAGTTTGTTCTGCTGGGCCATTTGATTAATAAATTGTTTAGAACACAAAACTTACTGACTTGTGGCTAATAAAATATGAATGCTAAAACTTTGCGGGCTGCGACGGCGGTCTCAGCATCAAAGGGCAGACATGAGTCGCAAATTAGTCATGCGCATATATGGCGAGTAATTTATGTTTGCGTTGATGTATGATGGCTCAAAGGCAGTCGCATTTAAGCCCAGTTAGCATTAGTAAGCGGTCCCATATGCTGCCCGTTCCCCCCTTTCTTGTCGAATTTCCATAACGGCACGGCGGGGGGTAAAAAAAAGAAAAGCCAGCAGGGCATTCGTTTGGTCCTTTGGTCTACACTGCGTATGCGTAATTTGATTTTTCTTTCCTTTTCCCCGTCCGGGCAATGATTTTTATGCCCTCACACATACACACACACACACACACACAGAGAGTGAGTCCTGGTGCCTCGGTGGACCACTTTTTGTTTGGGTCCCCTTTTTGATTACATCTCAATCAATTGGTGGCAGTTTTATGTTTGCACATTTCAACATCTTTCGGCTCTTCAAATGTTCATTTTTACGAGGCCTGCGGTGATTCCGGTTTCTTGCTCTGGCCATCATCCATTGCAAATTTGTAAGCATTTCAAGTTTTCCACGCATCCCATTATTTTTGTGTGTGCGTAAAAGTTTGTTTATATCGAATTACAATTTTATTGTATTGTTCCAGATATGTTTCGAACTTTGTAAAAAATAATTGAAAATTGATTTTGTAGTTCCTTTTATGATCCGCTGATTACAATTTAAATGAGAAAGCTTAGCCAAAATCTTCTTCACGTTTTGATAAATTAAAGTTACCCAAAAAAAGCAAGAATCTAACTCAGCTCCGTCAAATACAGCTTTAATCATTAGAATAAATATGAGAATTCTCAGCTAATCTATGTTTTTAAATAAACAAAATTTGTAAGTGATTTAAAATGATTAACTTTAAATTTAATTATTCAAAATAAGTAAAGTTTCAATTAGCTAATTTAAAGCTCGACCCAAACATATTTTTAGACATTTCCGGGACCTTTAAAGTCCTGTTTAAAAATTCTGTTTGAAATGCCACCATTTCATTTGGTTGCCAAAAAAACAAAAAATAAAAATAAAAGCAAATAAAAGGAATATAAACAAAACAGAGCCCTGGGGCCTAGCGTCAGTCAGAATACAATTCAATTTTGTTTAGCAAAGAAATTTCCTGCTCCGCCTTTCGCCGTTCGGGGGAGGAAAAAAGGAGGAAAAGCTCACTGATCTGAAAAAAAGGGCCAAGTTATTTTATAAAATTATATATATTTCATCTAGCAGAAGGTATGGTACAGAGAGTGAGAGAGAGGAGGGCCTGGGCCCAGTCAGTCGAGTGGCAGCATAATTTTCATTCAATTTCGCTCATTCCTTTAGCGTTTTGGCCAGGTCACCGGGGTCCCTTTCTTGTTGCCTGTTGGCTAGATGCATTCATGGCTATTTGCCATCATTTGTGTGTTTATCCACTTAGAAATGAAGCGATTTGATTTCCCCGGTAAATGAGGCATTTGCTGCAATCAGTTTGCATTGACTCCCTTAATTCCTTATTCCTCATACCAAACGGAATCATTTTGAGAGCGAACTCCGTCTCGCAACGAGTCCTTGTATTTGTAGCTTCATTAAATTCGCGTTGTGGTCTCCTGTCCTGGTCCTGTGCTCATCCTGTTATCCGCATCTCACTTTGACTGGAAGTGCACTTTTAGCACAAATTTCCTTTTCTTGTTGGCAGCCGCTTCCTTTGTTCTCTCTCAGCTCAGGATGTGGCTGATGAGTTCTCGTCGAGGACGAGGACGAGGACGAGAACAAGGACGAGACGCCGGCGGCTTGGTCGTTCCACTTTGCCGGCACTAAAGTGTTAAATCGCATAATTATGTCTCTCATGGCTCGCACTTCACTAAACTGCAAAGTTATTCCGCGGTTGCCTTTGGCCTCTCTAGTTCTTCGCACTTTCTTTTTCTTGCAGAAAGACTTTGAAGGATAAGAGAGTATATAAGAAAATGACACCTTCCTTTGCACATATATAAAAGAAAATACATTTTCACAACTTCTAAAAGCATGGTCTTAATATAATCATATTCTCTTATAGCTGTTATAATGAATTTAGTTTTCACTTAAGACCCTATCTTTCCTATTTATAATATAAATATTATATTTTCTCTACCTCTCAAAATATACTTCGTCTCAAGTTTATATACTCCCTCTTCGGTAACCATAATTCGACCCTATTTTTCTTCATTTTCGCCTCCTTTATTTTCTTTTTTTCACTTTCCCCATACAACAACGCATTTTTCCCTGCACTCTGAGGCATTTTCCTTTGGCCATGTGTTTGCTTTGTCATTCGAGGCTCGAGCGCTCGACTTAATTATATTTTAAGTTGACTGCTTGCATTAATACGCGCAGCACAAAGGAAGCTGGAAAATAAAAATTGTTTTCCCCACCAACACACACACACACACCCACTCAAGCAGAAGTGCGTTGAAGAAAAAGCAAAAGTTTTGCCCAAAGCCTAATGACTAAATTGAGAGCAAGTTTGCCAGAGTTTTCAGCACACATTAAAGGCAAATAATTTGCATACTCAACCCGACGGCGTCGGCGGCGAACAACTCGAAAGTATTTCGTTAACTATTTGAGTGGCGGAGCAGGAAAAACTGCGGGGAGGGGGGAAAACAGGAAGGCAGCTTTAATTGCGGGTCCTGTGCAAGAAAAATGGCTTGTAATAAATCTCAGCGTCCTCGACTCTCGTGGAGCGGTGGGGCGGCCAGGCAAGTATCCTTAAAGATAAGACCCACTACGGGCGCTTATCTGGGCGTGAATGCCATGATGCCAAATCCCTTGTCGGCAATTCGAAACATTTAAACACTGGGCCCGATCCGGAGTCAAAGACTGAGACTGAGAGTGGGCCAGAACTCTCGGCTTTTGGCGTCCTGGCAACGGCCGGCAAGTGGGCCTTATTGTGCTCCTTGTTATGGCCATCATGGCCAGCTCCTAATCTATAAAAAACCAACTTTCACATATGCGTGTGCGTGCACCGAAAAAAAGAAATAGTCTTAGACTTGGACTTGCCAACATTTTCCTTTCCAAATCTCTCACGACTTTAAGCCTTGTTTTTAACTATTAAGTATGTTTTGAAATGAACTAATGGTCAACTTCTAGTTTTAAAATTGGTAAATGGATGTACAATGTTTGTACAAGTAAATATTAGACAATCTATTAGTGAAAATGACAATTGTAGTGTATCCTCTCAGTGATACTGTGTGGGCGTGAGGGCGGAAGACATATCCTGACGGCCTCCGTTCAAACTGTTGCGTTGGCCTGGCAGATAAATTGCCGCTGCTCGCTTTTCGCCCTCGTTTCCTGGAACAGTACATTAGAAGTATTAACTTGAAAGGCACACCACATACATATATGTATAGAAAGGTACATTTTCACTGGCCTTGTCCAAGACATGTGTCATGTGCGCCCTTGTGATCCCGATAATTGCGTTTGTATTACCATTTAAATTGTTTACACCGCACTTAGACAATTTTTTGCTCTATCAACTCACAAATATTAACTTTCAATTACCAAAAATGACACAATCAGGTTGTCCCAGCAACGTCACTCGTGCGAGAGATGACATCAAAAGGATGTCTAATGAGGAAATCCAATATTTGACGGAATGAAAACGTTAATGCCTTTCGGGCCTAATTGATTGGAGAGACCCAATAAAACCGCCAGTCGAGAATCCGCTTCAATGGACTTGCGGTTGCGGATACATCGAAAATCGACTGATTATTTGGATAGTCTGGGCCAAGTGGCACTTAATGCCTACTCAAATATGAGAGCTGGCTTAGCATTTGCTTAAGCAAACATTTGGAGCCCACGCGGCGTATGCGTAATATTCAAAGAGCTGCTTGTCAAGTTCATTTGATTAACAAAAGAAAATATATGAAAAACTAAGCAAGTTGAGTAAGTTAATTAACCCAAGGAAAGCCTTAAGATGTTTTGCTATCTGTCTGTTTATTTTGTTGCATTATTTCGATGGGTTAATTCGTAACCAACACCGAAATGGCACTTGAAGTTAAGGATATTTGCAAGTCCAAGTTTCTTGCGAGGAGGTATTTGAGTTTTGTTTTATGATTTCTTCAGCTTGCGATATAAATATTTTCCTATTGGTCTTCTTACTTTCCGCGAAGGGTCAGTGCCTTTGGTGACTTCATATCCTCGCCGGGACACTGCTTGGTGAGCTTCTTGAGGGAAGACACCAATCGTGAGGCATCTGCTTCGGCGGCTGCCTTCTTGGCGGCCAAACGGCGTTCGGCAGCTGCCTCACGTTCCTTGCGGACGATGAAAAGTCTGTCTAGGTCAGCCTGGGCCTGGCTACTCACAGGTCCTTGCTTCAGCTTTCGCTCATCCCGAGTCTTGTCCTTTTTGGTTTTATCCAACTCCGGGAACACCATTAGCTTGTCGTGCGGCAAGCGATTAGGATTGGAGACCTCTATGAGGTCTTGGATGCCTCTGGTCGAGGCCTTGTCCGGCTCATGCTCATTGGGTTCGCTCTTGCCCTGAGTCAGATCCCGAACCTGATCCGAGTTCATCATCATTCCCAGCTCCTGCTGTAGCTGATCCGATGGCGTGAACTGGCGAGAGCGGCCCTTATGGTTAACGTATTTGCCACGTGGCATCTTAAGCGATTTCTAGACACAAGATGCTTCTGACCTATTGAAAAGTAATTGCTAAATAAAGTAAATTCCTTTCAAAATGTATTTCTAACTTACCTTTAAGGTAAAAAAAATGTTAAAAATTATTGGAAAAGTAGAGACGCAATTTTGTTTTAACAAATGTGGTTGACCTGAGAAGAGCTAATCCAATAATATTTTGAATTCCCTGACACTAAATCCTTGGTTGATGTGATATGAATTTTGTAAATATATACACAATGCATTTTCTTTTCAAATAAAAATGCAAAACCAAATATCAACAATTACCCTTATTTCGCATTGTATTTTTTTGTTGTTGTTATAACAAATACTCACACTCTCGAATGTATTTATTTAAACCCCATATATGCTCCACTTGTCGGATTATTTGGATAGTGTGACAAGTGGCTCTTAATGTCTAATCAAATATGAAAGCTGCGATTTCCCATTCGCCTGAGCAGGCAGCATGGCCCACGAGGCGTATGCGCAATGCATAAACGTCAAAGTAAATTCAGGAAATTCCGCTTGAATTGCGCACTGATGATGACAACGAACAGGAATAGTAGCGGAAAATGGCGACAGGCCGAAAGTGTAGGAGTAAGGGAAGTGGAAATAGGAAAATCTTGGAGGTGGGAGGACTCCTATCCTCTCCTCTCAAATCGGTAAATTGCGAAAACATGTTGCCATCGCTGGCGTGAGCTAGAGGTCCTTGATTGTGTTTTGGTTGGCACTGTTCCCGTAGCCGTTGAATGACTGATGAATGAGCTGAAGTGCAGGCCCCCAGAGTGTAAGACTTTGAGTATATGAGTTTACGTCGAACGACGCTGGAAAGCAGAAAAGGCATGCAAACAATGCTGCCAGAAAAAGGGAAAGCGGAAAATGGGCACTGACAGGGAGACAGGTTTTCTTTGTCCTCGAAAAAGGAGTGAGAAGAGAGATAAAGATGGGTAGAGAACGACAGCGAGTGCGAGAGTGATTCCCTCGTCAAGGATTTCTCACGTGCTTTTTTGCTAATTAGAAAATATTTGCCATTGCACAACAGCTTTGACAGTGACAACAGTGAAAAATGATTTCCCCACAAGCTAGGGAAAATGAAAAATTAGCACAACAAACCCAAAACAATTATAATAAGAAAAGCTTTAAGAGTGTGTGTCATTATTTTTAAACAAAAATCTCATTTCATCGATTGCAATTTTCTTATTATTTATTTCCCGACCCAGTTTTCCGAGTAGTTTTTAAGCTCGTACCGGTCACAGCGCACACACATAAATAATTTCATTCCGAGCGTCGACTAAATTGAATTTTTAATCATTATGCGAACAGCAACCCCATCGTCCGATGCCATAGCTCATAAAGTGCCTGTGTGCGAGTGAGCCATAAAATGAAATTACACGCATATATCACAGCATTTCAGCTCAAGAAAATCTGAAGGCGGAGGGAGCACAAAAAATGGAAGCAGAGACAAGTAATGCAGTTTTTAATTAAAGCGAAAGCAGAGCTAGTTAATGGCCAAGTTTGCACAGTTAAAACTCTCAGTTCTTGCCACCAGCTCGGATGGATCCTTTGTAGCAACAAACTAACTAACGTGGAGCATTCCCTTAAATGTTTTAAAGTTCAGAGAGAAGGGCGAAAATTTCGAGCGAGAGCCTGCGGTTGTTGCCTCTGAGATTGCATTGGCCAAGAGCTAAGTGAACAATGGCAGCGGGGATTTCCATCTAAGCCCGAAAGCTTTAAATGCGCGCTTTGACACACACTCACACACACATAGAGGCCTGGGAAAATCGTGGAAGAGCAGACACCAACATTATTGGCACACCGCAGGCACCACATGGCGTATGAGCAACATTGCGGCATCTATTCCCATTTAGAAGGCCCTCCTCAGACCGGGCTTATCTGTCCAGCTGCACAACGACTAATAAATGTGTGTAAATTAGTTATCAAAAGCAGGAAGGGTCTTCCGCTTAATCATAAACTCGCCTTAATTAATACGATGCCAGCGAAGCCCGCATTATGTCTGCCAGCTTAGATTTGATTAATTTTTATCTGCGAAGCGGTGGCAAAGATGAATCCCCCCCTGAAATGCTGACAACCTCCTATGACTTTTATCGTGCCCCGTCTAATAAAGTCATCAGAAATAAATAATTAAGAAGTGGTTTATTTATGAAGAAATGAGAGCACAATCCGGGTTCTTCAAAATACATGGCTTTATGGTATAAATAAATATGTTTTATTCGTCAAATAAAATGTATTATTCTAAATAACATCTTGAAAGTTCTCTTCTTGATAAAATGTCTGATAATTTAATTGCCAAAAATATATTAATAACATTGATTAAAGTGGCAACCTTTAATTTTTATTATTAAAAGGTTCAAGCTAACTTACTTTTTTAATAAAATGCATAAACCAATTCCAAATTTTCAAATTAAACTGCCTACTTTGCTCCCAATAAATTGAGCAGATAAGCCTCCATAAATCGTGCAAAGTAGACCTCTTCAGAAAATAAATATCAATGAATTGAAATTAATTACTCCATCTTTGGCACTTGTCGAGCACTCATGGATGCCATTGAGTTCTGTATTTTTGAACCGCGGCCATTAATCATTTTGTTTGTCGATAATTTATGCAGTCTGAAGTGAGCGGGGTCCTTGGCACTTTATTCCCAGCCTGTCACATTTCGGTTCAATTGCGGGCATGTCGTCAAAGTGCTCATTAATAGCACTCCCTCCGCTCCAATCTCGTCGTGAAACCTAAGCGAGCATTCGCCAAAAAATTTGCATTCATCAATTTGCTGCTGTCCCAGCTTATTATTTCAATCAATTGCGTTGGCCAAAGCTTGGGGGAGGAAGGATAGAAGAAAGGACATCTCGATGCGGTGCCCTTCGTCCTGGCTGGGGGCAAAAATAACGAAGGATTGTGAATGGAAAATATGTTGAGCCCTCGTCCCGAACTTTTGTGAATGCAACCTGCGCTGCTAATTTATCAATGGCAAACATTTTGCAATGGTAAGTAAAATATTCTGGATAGTCCCGAGAGTTACAACGAGGCCAAGGACGCCAAGCAGGGCTGTGTCTTCGTTTAATATTTATAAACAAAAGCTGAAGGGCACTCGGTCGCATTTAACTTTTGCCGACAGGCTGTCAGTGAGCGGCATTTTAATTGCGTTTTCCGATCGCAAGGATTGCCTCAAACCGCTTCCTTGCCGCTCAAATATTTGCCGCATAACATTTTTACGAGGCATTTTTCCATTAAGACTTTTCCTCAACCTTTATTTTCTTTTTTTTTTTTTTTGTGCTGAGTGTGTGTGTGTCGCATTGTATTGACTTTTAAACACATCAACCGCAAATACCGCATCGGATATATATAGGAAAACTCAATCAAACTGTTAATCGACTTGCGACCCAACACCAGGACCCTTCCTCGGCCTTCCATTCGCACATTCGCAGGACCTCTCCGGCAGTCGTGCGGAGGAGGCCCGTTACCCTTTTTGATTGTTTTTCCATGAATTTCCAACCATAAAATGTCAATAATATGTTTGCTGCCAGCCATCCCCATCACCGATCGCCGTATGTGTTTGTCCTGCCCTCGTCGTGTCCTGGTCTCCATTTCATCCACTTTCAGCAGAGCACCCATCAACTCCCGGCAATCGACCTGTTCAGTGTCAATAGGCAATAATAAATATTGAAACGTGTGGCGATGAAATTGAACAGCTTCATTCGGTTTCGAGTGGGGCACCAAAAAGCAGAAGGCAGAAAGGGGTCAAGAGGATAGGCGCTGATTTGATGGATTTTAAACAAGTCAATTCCATTAACGAGATTCAGGCAATAAAAATTGTGCAGAATGAAGTACAGATGACATATTAAAAATATAAAACAGAGTTGAATGTAACATACTTATTATGGTATTTAATACAATATTAAAATTAAAAAATTATATATGGAGACACACAAGTTAAATTAAATAACCATAAAGAGGATACCTCTGTGAGGAGTGGCATCAGAGACACCAGCTATTTGGGCGACCTTCGCCTTCAATGATATAAGGCAACCATTGTGTTCTTCCCGCTTTTCTCTGTTTGTGTTTTTCTGTGGGAGCATTGGCCAAATGAACAAGCGGAAACAATTAGTGTTGTAGCATTATTTGTAACATGCTGTTTGGCAGTCTCTCTTTCCCTCCGGCTGCGCTCGGTGTGTAATTAAGAGTCTCATTAAAAAATGATAAATTTAAATGGAAACATCTTCCCACAATGAGCACTCACTTTCCCAGTTCTCCTGCTCTGCTCTGGCTCTGCAGACGGTCTCGAGTGCTCTTCAAGAATCTCGCAAGCCCAGGTTTAATTGAAAAATTTGCTTTAGTGAAATTTAAAGCCACCGGAAAGTTCTGCCAACTCAAATAGAACATGGCAACAACAGAAAAAGGGGGAAAATACTCCGTAAAAGATACCCAACTCCCTTTGTAATCGACAAATTGGCGCCTTTAAGCTGACAAATCGAAAAGTTTCACAAAGCTGCAACTTTAAATGCTGCAGCGAAAGTTTTGCGGAATTCCGGTTTGCCCAAATCCACTGTCATCGGATAACCTTTGAGAGCAGATTTAAATCAGAACTTCAATTCTATTTTTAACATACACAAATATAGTATGAAAGTAAGAGAATTATAAGGAATGTTTTCAATACAATTTGTTTCTTATTTAGGAATACATTTATCCTAAATAAAACCTAAAATATACTTATATTGCAAGCGTTTCAATTGTGGCTTACTTCCATAGCCACTCATGAAATTCCCCTTGTTAAATTCATCGAATAAATTCCGCATTGTGTCTGCTGTCAGATCAAGTGGCATTAAAGTGCATTTAAAATGAAGCCTCTACCCACCCAACCCGAAAGTGCATTAAAATAAATCAGTGAAATGCAGCTGCGAGGATACGAGTAATTGAAAGTTAAGCGCTCGGAAGGACAACGTTTAAGGTGAGTCCTTAATTCAATCACCTGGCCATTAGTAGGCCATAATCCCCGCGTACAGTTCTTCATCTGCACTTTTGCGGCATTTGCAATTCAATTAGGGCCCCAAAACAATGCGCTCGCCTGCGGAGCGCAAAGCGTTAAAAACGCAATCAGAGAGCGAACAAAACGAACAAAAGGAGCTCGGATGCGGATCTGGTTGGAACGGTGACGGTGACCATGAC